TTACCTAATTCCAGAGAATCTGGAAACCTTTCTGCTGCTTATCAAACTAGGACCACCCTACTCTTACGGGTTTGACTTGAAGCGTTAACAGGAGCTGAGTGGAAAGAATCCTTGCCTCCAATGAACGGTCTGTCTCTTACAAGTCTGCTGATGAGTCAGGCAGACTCGGGAGTTATCATTACAGTGGGCCTACCTGGTTCAGAAACAGTTAAGCCCATCACTGAGGATTGACTCAATATCGCCATTCTGTTAACTAGTGCATCACATCAGAGTCTAGTTGGCACCAGGAGCCCTAATGGACCTCTTCCCTACCCCCAGTGAAATACGTTCGGTTAGTCCTAACCTGGTTCTCAGCGAGCATTAATCCCAACAACAAACTGACCACAGTTTACACTGCGTTGGCAGTCTTTCTGAGAGTTTGCATGCAGGATGTGAAATGAATCAAATGTGTAGTCATCTGTGATTGAGGTATCAATGCTGTTTGGCAGTGTTCAACTGTGTTAATGAAAAAAACATTTCTTTCTCCCCTCCTCAAATGAACTATTTGAATATATTTTGAATGTTCTTGATCAATGAAATCTATTCAATTTCAAATTAAATCTCCTTTGAAGAATTAGTCGTTAAGAGTTTTAAAGGACACCATAATTAAAGCAGTTCATTTTCTCATTCCCACTGTTGTTTCTATAGTAAATGTTAGATGTATAGAGTGGCTGTTGGTTGGTTGGTCTCACAGTGTTAATGTACAGTGAATGACGTATAAGATTTATGGTGAATGATTTATTAGATCTATCTTTTAGATGGAAATTCTTGCCTCTGTGCATACAAAATGTTCACCAGCTCTTTGTAACTACTATATTGCAGAGTATTACTGTGTGCCATTTTATGAAAGGCTTCCATGCTTGATCCATTAAAGAGATGTGAACCTTTTCTAGGATGCACAGGTTAAATTTGCACTGGTTGTATTAAAATCTTTAAATTCTCTCTTAAAAAGCACCTCTTTCCCTCTCTGACTGAGTAGATTCTAGCTGCTGATCATTTGTTGCCGTGGGGGGGTATGACACATCGACATGTTCTGTAAATCTCACTTGAGCATTTGTGTGTAGTGTATTTACATGAGTAGTTGCCTTTCATAATTGGTTGGGAGGAATGTTTGGATTCTAAATTGCACATAACATTAACCATATTCACATCTGTGGTTCTAACCTACAAAGTAAACTGGCTTATAATTCTATTTTCCTAATAAAACCCTAAATGTCATCCTGTGTGCTGTAAACATTCTAGGATTTGGATGAATCATCTTTGTCTTTTTTTCCCTCCCTTGAAAGTGTCTTTAATACCGCACCCAAGTGATAATTTTTCATGTGCGAGCAGAGAGTGAATATTGGAAGACTTTTGGACAATAGGGCAGAATCACAGATAATAATAATAATATGAGCATGACCTGTCTCTCGTGTTCAAATCCATTCATTCCCTGGAACCTCCCTACCTCTCTGAACTCCCCAATCCACCACTTGGCGCCTCCACTGACTGGCACCGACCTCCTACTTGTCCCTTGCACCCTCCGCTCCACCATTGGAGGTCGCGCTTTCATTCACTACGCCACGAAACCCTTTTCCACCGTGTTTATGACCACCCCCCTCCCCCGGCTCGGAGTCAGGCTCCGCCACTGTTAAGCACTCTGAGACACTACCCCCCGTGGCAGGCGCTATATAAGTGCGAATTGTTGTTGTTGTTGTACCACAAGGGTGTATTTTGGAGGGGCCAATAGATAGCGATCGGGTGACTTTTTTTCCCAGCCCTTGGATTGCAATACCAACCATGATCAGCTAATTTTGCACAGAGTGAGTCATACCTGGGACGTAGTTTGTCTGAATAATGCTATTTAACAATAGACAGTGGCTTTATACTCAAATGTTGAAGTTAAAGAAGTCGAATATGCAGCAGTAATCCACTGGGTGAATTTTTTGTTTTTAACATTAGGTTTGTACCTTTCTTTGACCCACTGAAGCACCATAAACTTTGGTTGGATACTACAATAGAATTTTGATCATTCACACTAGTTATCTGCCATAATCTGAACATTGGATAATCTGTTAAAATCCAAGTGTCTTTCAAGCAGTAGAGATTCCAATATTAACCATTTTCAATTAAAACAAAATAAAATTACTCTTTTACATCTTAATAATTGAGTTCTGAAATGACTGAATTATTTAGCCTTAGCATCACAATAAGTCTTTGACCATCATGGAATACAATCTGTATGTAAGAAAATGTGATCTCATCAACTTTAATGTATAATTTGTGTAGCTGGTTCAAAAGGTTGTGGTTCAGGTTCTGCATTGGGAAGTGTGGACCCTGAATCAAGGCTGACACCAGATGCAGTGTTGAGGGATCACTGCACTGGAGGAGCAGAATAGAGTGGATTAGGAGGGTTTGGAGCTCGTGGAGTATGAGCACTGACTAGTACTAGTTGGGCCTCTTTCGGTGTTGGTACAGTCTGTGTAATTCTATATTTGTGTTTTATTGAAAAATGTGCATTGATTCATGCATACTACAACATTTTGCCTCTGATCACTGTATTTTCATGACTTGTATCTCATGACTGGTGGTGATCGCCTTCTGCTGCTAAAAGTGGTCAAACTCTATTGCGCGCAGCATTGTCATCCCATTCTTAATAGAGTTTAGACACCAACTGAACCAGATCTAGACCAGGATTGGATTTTGAAAGTGAATTTTAAGTAAATGTCTGCTCCAGTAGACTGTTTGAGCAGTGAAAAAAACTTCTACGCTTTGCTGGTCCTTGGGACTTCCCTCTGACGTGAAAGCGCTATATAAATAATTTGTTGTTATAACAGTGATGTGCAACGTGCAAATATGCTCCTTTTACCCACCCAAATATTTTGAACATGCCCACTAAAATGCTGACAAATTGTAGAAAAACTAGCCTGACTAATGTGTAAGATATTCAGTCATTTATGTGCATGAAGTTATTGGAATTGTTATCTTGTTGGAGATTTGCATGAAGATTTCATGAAGATTTCCATTTGATGCAATGAATGGCATTGACCAGACTCAATTATAAAACCAAAGTGAAATATATACGGGCTGTGAACAATAAGGGGTTGTTTTTGAATCCTTCAATGTGTTTTTCGTTGAATTGTTTGTCTCTGGTAGGCAAGTGACCTGTTCCAAGCCTTTGCCAATGTTGTTCTTGACACTGCTGCTGTGTGGCTAGCAACAGTGGCACAGTGCCTGAGGTATAAGCCTTAAATGTTGGAAGGTCATGAAGGCAACTTGTCAAGCAGTTATGAGATGAATAGGTAAGCTGTTTGCACAGTTATCAAATTGAAAGGCTAAACTTTACAAATGTCTCCAACTTGGATACAGTGTCTGATTTATGCAGCCTGTTGGTTTAGATGAGTTGGCATAATCCCCGTCACTTTTTATGCAAACTTTGACAGAAAACTAGAGTATAAATTTATACAACTTGTCTGGTTGCTGCTAAGCAAAGTAGCCTTATATCCAGTTTATAATGTGCTTTTCACAAAGGAATAAGATGGTGTCCTGCTACTGAGATTACCTGGAGGTTATGGTTTATAATCCTAGGATCTAATTATTTGACATGCTGCAGTCTAAATGCACGTGGTGCAAATAGGCTTGTGTGCTTAAAGGATTGTTATTATTAATGAGGCAGCTGATTAACAACATTAAAAAATAAACTCAGCAGTCCATGGTGAATGTGAGAAGTATAAATCAGACCTTACAACTGGAAGTGATCTCAGTTCACTCATAAGTATATGAAAAGAACATTCAAAGAACAGTGTCTCTTAATATTTTTAAGAGAAACTAGATTTGAAGAATAAGGAAATCCATATCAAAGGAAAGTAATCTTAACTTCATGAATGTACAGTATTGTTTAAAAGTTCCCTTTTAAATTTGTAACTGATCGTTCGTTCATTCCTAATGGAGCAATTCCCGGTGGGGTGAAACCTTGGGCAAGTTTCCTTACTCCACACGCCTGATAATAATCCCTCAAGAAAGAAAAAAAAATTGGTCACTTCAATCCACGACTGTTTGTGGGACGCTGCTGTGCGCTATTGGCTGCTGCGTTTTGCCCACAAATATACTGTCAATTCACTTTACAGTCTATTCCAACTTTTGGAATTCCATCCCCCAATCACTCCGCCTCGCCCCCTCCTTAGCCTCCTTCAAGTCCCACCTCAAAACCCTCCTCTTCGTCTGAAATGCTGTACACTGTCCAGTGCCTTGAAAGGTGCTATACAAATGTAAATTCTGTGAAGCGCTTTGAGACGTTTAGAAGACATGAATACCGCTATATCAAATGCAAGGATTATTATTATTGAGTATTGCATGATAATGAATTTGGAAATTGTCTAGTGCAGTCACTCATATTCCTCTTAAGATTAGACTCAGTGCTAACAAGATGGTCAGACGTACCATGGTGTCTGGTTGAAGATGCTTAGGAAGATACAGCGTGCACACATTGGAAATGGCCAAGATGGGAGATCATGAATATTGCTCCACTTGGAAATATTGTATACTTCTTTCCTCTTTGAATGTGCCTTCAGTCATCCTCCCACTTCCACCCCCTTTCCCTCCACTCCTTTCGACTCCAACCCCTAGCTCAGGTGCAAACCCTTGACTGTTCAGTGCCTTGGGACATCCTCCTGAAGTGAAAGGCGCTATATACATGCAATTTGTTGTTGTATACAGCATGTCTACTTCGCAGACTGGTGGTTTTGGCACATCGTTTCCAATTCTACTTCCAATATACTAATTAAACAAATGTTACTGTAAACTATTTTAGCATATGTGACCTTGCATGTTCTTTATAATTTTAATAGTAACACACATGTTGGTCTACAAAAAATCAGCGAAGGATGAAGAATAGAGTTAGTGGAAGTGAGTTCTTTATCAGCATAACCATATTTAGCAAAACCCAATTTAACCTATTCCTTTAATTTTCTTGTTTCCTACAGGTTGTTGGGAGAGGAGCTTTTGGAGTTGTATGTAAAGCAAAATGGCGTGAAAAAGACGTAGCTATAAAGCAAATTGAAAGTGAATCGGAGAGAAAAGCGTTCATCGTAGAGGTAATCTCATTAACATGATCATCCTATTTGTCATCCTAGATTCGGGAAAGTAATTTTTCAATTTTTAACTAAGATTACCTGTGAGATTCTGATTGAGGTTTAACATTTAATTTGTGTTTCTGGATAAATTGTTTAGGCACAACTGAGAAAGTATCACTAGAATAGGCTGAATAATCTGACTGTCTTGATTGCTTACAAAGAGTTGCTGTCTGTGGAAGAATGCAAGTTCACAGCTGTTTTTCCACCTGGCATTTTGCTGGTCTTCACCATTACTGACAGGCAGAGGATAAGACTTCCAACAGGGAGATGAATTGTCAAGCAAGTCAACTTTGGCCCCTCTCCCATATGTCCCGCTGGCCAGATTTAGAGCACCGTTGACCAAGTACTTCAGATTATGTCAGACATGCTGTCAGAATGATTGCCAGTTGTATGATGATATATGATTGCACTTCTTCGTGGAAAGAGTCGTCTTTTTCAGCACCTGTAAATGTCAGACAACAGAACATTCAAACTATAGTGCTTGAAGTCTTATTTTCTTATGCTATATTTTTACAGATTAGTATGCCACCAATTCTTCCACTTCTGTCAGTGTATTACCCTTCTGGTTCCTGGATAGTACCCACATTGCTTGAGTGCAATCTAAAACATACAGGGGAAGCCCATTATCAATTGCCTCTTAATAGTTTCATTTTTTGGTAACCACTGGTTCACCAGGTACCCAGTGGACCCCGGTTATCAAAAATACATTGTGCTTCTGCTGCAGACCAGCCAGTTTCCTATGCTTGAAGTGTCTGAATTCCAGGTTGGTGTGTTGCCGCCAGCTCTGATTGTAAATGCGGGCAATGCTGAGTAAGTGCTACCAACCCCCATTTTGGGAAGGAAGCAATGTGGGTACTATTCAGGAACCAGGGCTCTTGTGTACAATGAGCATGAGCATCCCACAGGAAGTGATATATGTGGCACTGAATGCGCACAATATGCAGGAAGTGATATTAGTAGTGGTTTGACCAGAAATTTGCAACATAGAAGACCATTCATCCCATCTTCTAAGAGCAATCCTTTCAGTCCCATTCTCTCCAGTTCACCATACGCCCCTTTAAATGGCCTGAAATATTGGACCTGTAGTATGATTTATGTTTTTAAAATACTGTTCACTAATTTGTGATTTTTTTTCTTGATGCACTGCAGCCATGAATATTTTATTTTTTGATTATTTTTCCTACTTTTAAGAACAAAAATATTACAGCCATACAAAAAAATCCTGCTTTGCCACCACGAAAAACTGTTTTGCAGCACAGAAAGATTTTGTTCATTCCTACCATGATTGCCATGTAAACTGCGTTTTTGTTGACTAGAATTTGCACTTGTGAAGCATTTCTCACTTTGGGAGAATATCTCAAAGCACTTTACAAAGACAGAGTGAGAACCTGAGCTGGAAGAGACATATATTTGGAGAGGGGGAAGAATTTATGCTTAAACGGTGAGATACGTTAGGATAATTGGCTGCCATGTTCACCAACAAAATATACAGTCACTCTACTTTACAGTATGCCCTGTGAAGTCCTTTGAGACTTCCTCCCTATGTGAAAGGGACTATATCAAATGTGTTATTATTTAAGCTAATAATTGCAGTTCTATTTATAAATGGAGGTTACATTTCATTCTAATGAAGCAATACCTTCATTAGAATGAGTCCTGTAGCTCAGTGGTTAGAGCACTCGCTTTGCAAGTGAGGGACCTGAGTTCAATTCCAGGCAGGTCAGGGCGAAACCTTGGGCAAGTTTCCTTACTCCACACAGAGCCTAATAATAATCCCTCCAAAACCAAAAAAAAATAAATTGGTCATTTTCAATCTACGTCTGTTTGTGGGACATTGCTGTGCGCAATTGGCTGCCGCGTTCACCCACAAACATACAGTCAATTCACTTTACAGTGTGTTCTGTGAAGCGCTTTGGGACGTCCTCCTGACGTGAAAAGCGCTATATCAAATGCAAGGATTATTATTATTATTACCTAAATATTATGATTTGTACAGATAGGAAACGTATGTAGCGGTGAATTTTATTAACATTATTACTAATGTTATTATAGGATCATTCATGCAAGGGCTTCTAGGTGATAGATGAAGCGATTGAAGTTATGTTGCAAACTCATGACTAATATAAAATCCATGTTTGAATTCACATTTGAGCAGAGATGTTTACAAAAGCAGCCATATGTTTATGGCGTGCAGTAGATCCATAGCTTTGTCAATTGCATGGTAGAGTTGAAACACTGATAATGTATGTTTTTGCCTTGACCTTTGAAACTGTTCACTTTTTTTTATATCTTGCAGCTTCGACAGTTGTCACGAGTGACGCATCCCAATATTGTGAAGCTTTATGGAGCCTGTCTAAATCCTGTATGTTATTTTAGTTCTTCCTACTCTTTAAAAGTGTGAACCCAATCATACTCTTGTCTTGTTTGATTATAATTGTGTCGCTAACCAACGTTTCTAATGTCTATCCTTCTGAGACACAGTCTAACACACTAACAGGTACAAAAGATGACCTGCCATAGTGGATAGTGTAGCTATCCTTTAATGGATGTGATGTGATTGTTGACTTGTCCATGTGTTGTTTTATAACTGAATCATTGAAAATGCACATTTGAAATAATTTTCATAAATTGGGATGTCGTCTCAATAAAATGTCCATTTTCCTGGAAATCTGTCATATCTTTTTAATTTGATTGTTGTTCTTGTATTGGGGAGCTTTGGAAATCTGTCTTGTTTTATAAGTTAGAAAATTATTTGGAAATTTAATTTTACATGTCTCCTGTTTTAAAAATGAAACTATCTCCATTTTGAGGCTAGCCTAATGGGCCAAAATGGTTCAGAATGTGTGAAGCCAGATCCCTGCGCTGAGCATCATGTAACTTGCTCCCAAATGTGGGCTCCTCCTTCCCTTTCCCTCTCCCATTTTTTCTTTTAATATAGTCCACTAAATCCATTCATGGTTCAGTTCTTAGCACTAAGTTGGTAGCACTCTCGCCTTTGAGTTAAAAAGTTGTGGGTTCAGGCCCCATGTCGGGATTTTGACTTCACAGTGCAAGATGACACTCCATTGCAGTACTGGAGGTGTTGGGGGTGCCATAATTGTTGGGGGTGCCATAATTCAGATAAGACATTAAACTGTCTGCCTGTTCAGGTGGACATTAAAGATCCCATGGCACTATTTGAAAAGAGAAGGGAGTTTCTCCTGATGTCCTGGCCAACAATTCCCCAGCTAAAATTGGTCTTTCACTTCATGGCAGATCGTGGGACACTGCTGTACACAAATTGGCTGATGCATTGCCTACAAATCACACTCCACAGTAAAATCCTGTGAAACGCTTTGAGACATCTTGACAGCGTCATAAAGCCCTATATCAAATGCAAGGGTTATTATTTTAAATTATGGTTGTATTGGCAAACAATTATTTTATTACTAGATATGCAATGAGTGGGCTGCCTGTTCTGCATAGTGCAATAATTGGTTGTTATTTTAACATTTGTGTTGAATTCTGTAAGTCAGAATGAACAAGTATCTATGCCTTTATTTTACATTTAATCTGAGTTGAGCCCTCAACATCTTAATCTTATTGGTGGATTATTTCCTTTCCTAAAACATCTTGAAATGAGCATAAAAAAACCTTCAGTTTTTTTGAGTGGTTAATTTGTGCTGAATCCAAAGGTTTATAGGCACAGAACCCACCTGTGGAAGCATCACTAAATTAGTAGTCTTATTTTAGATTTTTTTTAAAAACTAAACCTTGTTCTACTTTTGCTAACTTTCTTTGAATATATAATAATCTTTACAGGATTTGTATATATGTTGTACTCCTACTTTGGGCTCAAACATTTCTGGACTGGCTTTCATGTGATTAGAATGGGTTCTCTATTTATATTTGGTGCTCAAAATGATGAGGGTTTTTAATTTAAGATTAATAGGGTGAAACTATCTGTGGGCTCTGTGTGCCTGAGACAAATGATTGATGTGGGTGTAAATTTGTCAGATATCCAACTGACTTCAAATTCAGTGATCCATTGGAATTGAATATTGCTAATTGTTTGGGGCATGTGGTACTCCTTTCCAGGTTTGCCTAGTTATGGAATATGCGGAAGGAGGCTCCCTGTATAATGGTAAGTCAGAATCTTAACTGAGATCACACTGGTGACTCGTTTACGTCTTGCATGTAAGACTTACTTTGACTTTAAATGTAAAATATTAGTGTGTAAACTAAATGTGTCTAACTTGAACAGGTTTTTTGTTGTAAGGCAGTTTATAATAGATATTTGTGGCATTATGGCACATGGAAACTTGTGCCATTGCGATCTTTGAAGTTTGTTGAGAATAATGAAGCTGAGAAAATTGTTGGTAATTGTTGATTGTTTTGGAAAGGTTTTAAGTCATTGTTGCTGCTGGAAATACAATAAAGCTGAATTATTTGCTTCAATGCTCTAGGACATAAACAATTTTATAAAACAACATGAGATTGAATTCTTAAAGTATGTTTTCCTGATAACTTCTAAATTCACACCTCAAACTTACTGCAATTCCTTATGTTAATATTATTAACTTTCTAGTTCGCTAGTTAGTAAATTTTACAATCAGTTTAGCTCAGTTGGTAGCCTTCTCTTCTCCAGGTCAGAGGTTATGGGTTTGAGTCTGCACTCGTAATCTAGACTTTCAAGACAGTACCGAGGGAACGCTGCCTTGTTGGAAACATTCTTTGAAAAGGATGTTAAATCACTGCTCATCTAGCTTTTTTATTGTAGTTTAGAGGCTCAAAATATATCAAACTAAAGCCATTTTGTGCCTAGTCTGCACTTGTATTACCTCTGTGCAATGTCAGATTGGATAAGTAGCTCACAATAATATCAGAGGCCGGGAAATGCAGCTGAATATCAATCAACTGCTTGCCTCCTTTTACCTGGATCCAGTACTGTTATTTAGGTAGTGGTAATCACAAAAGAAAATTTCTATTTGCCTATACCAGAGATTCTTTGCCGTCATGTTACTTACACAATGTCAGACTTTCGCAAGAGCACAAAACGTCATTGGGGCATGATCACTACAACACAACATAATATGCAACAAGCAGCACTGAAATAAATGAACAAGTATAAACTGTTTTTGGAAAACTGGAAACTTCTTCAAAATAGTATCGAGGGAATTGTGACATTTTCTTAATTCATCAGACAGGGCAGATAGGACCCTAATTTAGCTTCTCAGATGAAGGTCAAGTCAGATTGGTAAACGATTAAATTGAAGATTATCAAAGTGATCCTCTTGTTGGCTGTGGGGATTATAAACAGTTCTATAACTCTTGAGACAATTGTTCACTGCTATAGGTTTCAATTATAGTCAATATTTCTATATTCAAGAGTTGATTTAACATAGATTTGAAAATAACATATTGGTAAATCTTTCTTTATGGCTGTATCTATCCCTCTTTACATGGCTTTATGATTTCTCATTAATTTACAGTTCTACATGGAGCTGAACCCCTACCATATTACACTGCTGCCCATGCAATGAGTTGGTGTTTACAGTGTGCACAGGGAGTAGCATATCTACACGGCATGAAACCCAAGGCTTTAATCCACAGGGACCTCAAACCACCCAAGTAAGTTCTTATTTTCTTTGACAATCAATATTTGCGGAAAATGGTGGGCTAGAGAACTTAGTTTAACCCTAACAAGAGCTTGAAGTCCATAAGTTTCTTTTAAAATATCAGGATGTTGAATACTGAAAGGTGCTTTATAAATGCAGTTTGTTGTTGTTGTTGATGCTACAAAAGAGGAATATTAAATGAAGGAAAGTAGGATTATATCAGGTTACCTTGTGGAGAAGCTATTATGCCCAGAGCTGCCATCTGTTTACTCTGGTCCTTACGTTTCCTGTTATTGTGCAGAACACTGCACAGGATAATCTAAGACCAGGAATGTAGATTGTTGATACCTCCAGTCCTCTGTTTTCCTGTAACAGCTTGCTGCTGGTGGCTGGTGGGACAGTTCTGAAGATCTGTGACTTTGGCACGGCCTGTGACATTCAAACACACATGACCAACAACAAGGGGAGTGCTGCTTGGATGGCTCCTGAAGTATTTGAAGGTGAGCAGTAAAACCAAAAACCAACGTTTTGTCAGTGAAGTGTTTCAAAACACTATCTGACCCACCAACTACACAGCTGTGTGTTGTTGGGTTCTTCTGTTACTGAACTGAGTAGCATCGTAAACAAACTCTACAAGATGGTATAAACTCTCGTGGAACATTGCCATTATTTTGTTCAGTTAAATTTAATTCAGTTTCGTATGAGGTGTTTATCGTTCAAAAATCTTGGGGCAAAATGCTGCAGTTGCTGAATTTACTGACCATTGACTGATTTTAGTGAGATTTCACCATTACAATCACACAATCCTTGTATTTGATATAGCGCCTTATCACGTTTTCTAGACATCTCAAAGCACTTCACAGAGTATACTGTAAAGTGAATTGACTTTGTTTTGTGGTGCATGCAACATAGGTCATTTTACCAGCCAGTGAATTCCTTGCTTTTGGCTTGCTTTTTTTCAGGTACGGGTCATTTGAAATGGAATTTTTTACAAGCAAGTCTGACAAACCTAATCTTAATAGGACATTGTCTGATAGACTTTAACTGCTAATAATACAGTGACATGAGCTGAGTTAATATTGCTTGCTCCACATTGCAATTTGTCAAGCTGCAATTGGCATACTATTTGTGCACTGAAATTGATCATTTTTAAATGTTATTATCAAACTGCTTGTATGATCTCAAGATTAAAAATGTACTATATCAAGTTCCTGAGAGCTTTGACATGAGCATAGAGAAGCAAACCCAACATAATTTGCACCCACTGTGTTTCTACTGCATGAGAATGAATTGCTTTGTTCCTGAAAGCAGCTCTCAGCTCCAACACAAGACCCTGTTTATACTGCACGAGTGATGGCAATGTATATGGTATGTTGCCAAACATACCATGTAAATTCTATTAAAATTTACGTAAGGCCACATTTGTCATGCTAATATAATGGATTCTAGCCTGTCCTTTGACAGCTAATTTGGAGTGTTTAGAGTTATCATTTGGTACAGAAATTAATAATTGTTCCAGTCATCAACATTGACATCATGCATGCATTTTGTTCAATAGCTATTTTTGTTCAATTGATTTCCATTTTACCAAATGGCCACAAAATATCCTTTACCTGCGCACTTTATTTTTGGATGGTCTTGGTCTCTAGTTAAATTGTATAATGTAGAACTATGCAGAGTTCTCGAACCTTTCCTAACCACAGCATACTGTTAAATGTAGCATCTTCGTCCTGAAATGCCCTTTACAGGGCTCGACAAATTAATACATCTTCCAAGTGCCTCTTCTCTGTAGCTATTGGTTGTGTTTCTCTGACGATTCCTTATTGAATTTATGTCACAGGTAGTAATTATAGTGAAAAGTGTGACGTCTTCAGCTGGGGCATCATTCTTTGGGAAGTGATAACACGCCGAAAACCTTTTGATGAAATTGGTGGCCCTGCATTTCGTATTATGTGGGCTGTTCACAATGGTAAGTTTATGTTTGGAAAGTGAATTTATCTTTGTTATACAATCAGAGTAAAACTAACTTTTGCATTTCATTGGCTTTTTTTTTGGTAGCAGCTGAACTGATATCCTTATCTGTACTTCAGAAAAATTGAATGGCTGTCTGGAAAAGTATTGAATAGTTTCTTAATATATACATATAAAGTAATATCTTGATATATGTTCAATATAAAACGATTCATGTAATGTTAAGACAAAAGAGTGGCTTGATAGTTCCCTACAGAAGTTCCCAATTTAGGTCTGGAAGATGGAGTGAAGGAGACTCTTACACCTCCCAGTGGCCAGTTGTAGAATGGCATTGGCAAGAGCCGGGAATGATAAGTTACTGCCGCCCTCAAATTTAAAGAATTTTTTTTCAGTTAAGTTAGGGGAGGAGAGAGTGAGATCTTAATATTTAGAATAATTGATTAAAGTGATTCAATAATCGCTATCAAAAGAAAATTGGATATACACTTGAAAAGGAAAAAAATTGTGAGATCTATTTTGAAGAAAGCAGAGTCGAATTTGTGATATTTAACCAGCTTTCTTATGAAGAAATGCCTATCAGAATTTTCATCAGCCAATGGGACTACCAGTAGTTTGTGCCAGAGAAAAGTTTCCACATGCCTCTGGCATATATTTCTACTTCCCAGAAAACGTTTTTGTTTGTGCGGCTTAAATTTCTTATTTATTACTGCAAATTAAAACCTGGTATTGTTATGCAACATTATAATCCCCCAAAAAGAAACAGTACATTTTCAATAGCAGTGAAAATAATCCGTGTAGCTCCACTTTTATCCATTGAGTGGGATCTAAAATGTGATATTTTCAAGATGGAATTTCTACTTTAATTGTAACAATCCACTGTTTGGGAATTTACAATTCACTATTTTGAGATTTTAAAAAAACTGTTAAACCAACAACAACAAAAATTACATTTATAAACCAAAAGTCTGTTCAAGTTCAACATTTTTCCTGGAAACTCGGGACTGATCTTAAGATGGCACCACTATATGCACTTTAAACAAGTTTTAAAGCTTTTTTTAAAACTTAGTTTTCTACCAGGTAGTTTTGTAGAATAAGTAAACTAATTTAGGGTCTGCCGACGTACCCTCAAGAAAAGTAATAGGGAGTTTAGAATAAGGAAATATTATCTAATGTGTATCAAAGAGCAGTAAACAGTATTGTGCAGTGTGAACTTTGTGCTTTGTATGTTGATCAGTTAATTCATTTGACAAAAGTTGCAGGTGTCTGTCACTCAATCATTTCTTTTTATCCATGTATTTTAGGTACTCGGCCACCTTTGATCAAAAATCTGCCCAAACCCATTGAGAGTTTAATGACTCGCTGTTGGTCTAAGGACCCTGCACAGCGCCCCTCAATGGAGGAGATAGTAAGGATAATGATGCATTTAATGAAGGTAATTTTGAACATTTGGATTTTTTCAAAAGAATATACAGCTGGTTACAAAAATACATTTTTGAATATGCTGAATAACGTAAATGTTTATTCATTTGAAAATCTTCGGCACACTGACAATTTAGAATACTTTGTGTAAGCTTGTCATTTTTTTCCTCAAATTTTCTCTTCTTTCCTGAAGGTAGTGTATTATTGTATTGTGGCACCACTATCATCGACAGCCCCGCTTCCTTGCCCAAGTGCCATTTTTTCTTATGTAAGCCTAGACAGTAAGTATTGTCGGGCTATTCAGCAATGGGTGGGGAGGGGGGGTGGGGCATCACACCTGAGCCTGGGCTTATCACCTGATGTCCAATCGTGTGCACTTTCCACTATAGGTTAAAAGTAGAACCACTGGCTGTTTTTTTTTCTCTCTGAAGACCAGAATGCAGTAGCCAATTACACTTCAGTGGAGTCATTTTAACAAAACAATTCCATCAAATATATCACATCAGATGTCCTATAAATAATGCTCGCATTTGACATTTGGTCTTCAAAGTTAAAATACATCAAAGTGTATTACAACAACAAGATTACATTTGTATAGCGCCTTTCACATAATTTTAATTAATTACAGGTAATTACCACAAAGTGTAGTGATTGCACATTTTTAAACAACTAGTATTTATATAGCGACATTCACGCAGAGTAGCATCCAGAGTGCTTGGAAAATGCAGTAGCCAGAATTGCACCCAGCAGGGGTCCCACAAACAGCCATGAAGTGAATGATGTTTTTTTCTCTCTAAGCCGGAGCACCAGGAGAAATTCCGTTCTCTTTTTGAATAGTGTCAAAGGATTTTAATGTCTACCTGATGCAAGCCCCTAGCGCTTTATCAACATCTTAATTATGACACTTGTAAAGCTTGGGTCACAGTATTTGATTGCTGGTTAGCAGTGTTGCTAAAAAAAAAGTTAAGACAATGATGAGAATGATGTGATTGTAGCTGTCGCCATTGAGAAAGGGAAAGGTGTATTGCCTCTAGCAGACATACAGCACGTTTGATGTGATGAATGTTGATAAATTGTCACTGATACAAATTGCTATAAATTTATATTAAAAAAGTTGATACAAATGTGTGTGCCCCTGACCCCAGCTCGGGTCTGAAATGCTGTACACAGCGCCTTGGGGTGTCCTCCCGACATGAAAGGCGCGATACAAATGTAATCTTGTTGTTGTATACAATGTTTTCTGGAAGGGTACCTCCTATCCAGCCTTGTATGCCAATAAAGCTGGGATGTGTCATACTTTTATTTCAAAAGCAACTACTTCTATGAATTCGTCAAGGTAGTGAATTTGGTGCAAAAGCGTTTATTGCCTTTTTGTAAGCGATTTGTTCAGTACAAAGTTTTGAACCCCAGAAATTGTCATAATTGCTAAGGCAGATAGGGTAGCTGTTGGAACTTGTTTTGGAAAAGAAGCTGACTTCACTGAAATCAGAAGATTGTAGGTTCAAGTTCATGTCGGGACTTGAATTCTTATAGTCTAGACTAACACTCCAATGCAGTGCTGAGGTGTAAATCAAGGTCTTGTCTACCTGGAGTCCTGTAACTTAGAGGTTAGAGCACTCACCTCGCAAATGAGAGGACTTGGATTCAATTCCACACTCCTCTGTTTATCTAACAGTAAGTTGGAACACGATTGTTACCACCAACCGGCTCCTCCATCCACCCTTCCACCCCTCGCCCATTCTCTCCTCAAGCTCTGACTGAGGAGATGCTGGATTTCTTCGAGTCCAAAATCGAGGGGATCCGTTCAGCTGCCTCCTCCCTCTCAACCACTACTCCCTCCCCATCTCCCATCCACACTTTGACCCCTACCCATCCCTCCCTCCGTATTTTCAAACCTGCCTACACATCCTCTCTCATCACCACCACATCCAGCATGAAACGCACCACATTGACCCCATTCCCACCCGTCTCCTTACCTCCCAGCTCCACCCCCTCGCCCCTCTACTCTCTGACACCATCAATCTCTCCCTTTCAGCTGGCAACGATCCCAACCCCTAAAACAGCTACAATCACCACCATCCTGAAAAAACCTTCCCTGAACCCATCCCTGCTTTCTAATTACTGGCCCATCTCCAACCTCCCTTTTCTTTCGAAGGTCCTTGAAAGAGTTGTTGCTTCCCAGCTTCACTCATTCCTCTCATTCCCTTTACGAGCCCCTCCAATCGGGTTTCCGTGCTGCTCACAGCACAGAAACTGCTCTGGTCAAGGTGACAAACAACATTTTATCCATCTGTGACCAGGGCTCCCTCTGCCTCCTCGTCCTCCTCAACCTCTCTGCTGCCTTCGATATCGTGGACAACTCCATCCTCCTCCACCGCCTCTTCTCTCACCTCAACCTTCAAGGTTCTGTCCGTGAATGGTTCAGGTCCTACATTTCACACCACCTCCAATTTGTCTCCACCAACAATTTCTCTTCCAGCACTGTCTCATGTGGTGTTCCTTGGGGCTCTGTCCTCGGTCCCCTCCTCTTCAACCTCCACATGCACGCCCTTGGTGACATCATCCGCAGACATGGGGTCAACTTCCACAGGTACTCGAGTGACACCCAACTCTATCTCTCTGCCTCCACCCTCTGTTCCAGGACAACTGACATCCTGACAGACTCTGTCTGACATCAAGTCCTGGGTGAGAGCCAACTTTCTACAGCTGAATGTCAGCAAGACTGAGGCTCTCGTGATTGGCTCACTTCAGCACCTCAGGCACTGGCAGCATCAGCATTCACGGTTGCACACTCCACCTCACCAAGCCAGTTAAGAACCTGGCCGTCTTGTTCAACCATCAACTGCCCTTTCTCCCCCATATCTGTGCCATGACCCGCTCTGCCTTCCTCCACCTCCACAACATTGCCCGACTCTGCCACTGCCTCACCCCTCAGCCGCTGACACACCCTACCATCGACGTCCAGGCTTTCAGCCTCTCTGCCCCCGCTCTTTGAAATTCCATCCCACAATTCCTTCGCCTTCACAATCCTTTCGTCCTCTCTTGCCTCCTTCAAGGCTCGACTCAAGACCTTCCTTTTTGACAGTGCCTTCAGATGCCTTCCTAACCCCTCTGCCCTTCCTCATCCGAATCCTTCCCCCCCAAGCTCGGGTCCTGATCCCTGACTGTTCAGCACCTTGGTACGTCCTCCTGACGTGACTTGGTACGTCCTCCTGACGTGAAAGGCGCTTTACAAATGTAATTTTGTTGTTGTTAGTCGATTGGCAGATTGCTTTTGCAAGGTTATTAATCTCTTCAAAATAAAAAAAGACAATAATTTGGTCACTCAATCCAAGACTGTTTGTGGGACACTGCTGTGTGCAATTGGCTGCCTTGTTTCACCTACAAAATATACAGTCAATTCACTGCACTGTATTCTGTGAAGCACTTTGAGACTTCTCAAAGACATGAGGCACTATATCAAATGCAAGGATTATTATTATTACCTGTTCAGATGGACATTAAAGGTACTATGACACTATTCAAATAGAGAAGGGAGTTTTCTCCTAATGCCATTGCCAACAATCTGTCATATTTGCCTACAACATAATCTTGCTTTTGATATAGTGCCTTATCAATTTGTTGAGACATCTCAAAGCCCTCCACAGGATTCACTGTAAAGTGTAGTTAGTGACTGTGTTTTGTGTATCCTGTGAAGTTCTAGGAGACATCCTCCCAACATGAAAGTCGCTATATCAATAATAATAATAAATGTGTCGTGAATTAGCTGCTCTCTGGCGATGTTTACTAATTGTGTTCATTCTTGTTGTAAATAAACCACTGGTTGTTTTAGTATGTAAATCACTGGTCCGTAATCTGATGTCTGCCATTTTGAGAGTTTCTGGCAACAAAGTCATAATTGTACGTCAATTCAATAATCTACAATCAGTCCTTGGACTCACTGATCTGCAAATACAGAGTAAAAAACAGTTGTGCCAATATCATGGGGGCATGGACACAATAGTGGGGTCTGATATTGATCTGTTGGAAGATGACAGGAGTTAATATCCCAACATGGTAACAATGTTAAATCGAATGTTTGAGTATTGACTTCGTATAGACAATTATTTGGTATTTGCAACTTGATAAGTAGCGAGTTCCAAAAGTGTGATTATTATAACCATGTTAGGTTTGCTGTCATAAACTATATTGAATTTAAATAGCCCAAATCTCAAGGCGGAAAAAGTCTTTGCATGTCTTGCATATCTAATATGGTGGAGTTGTAAATGTGCCACCCAAAATGTGTCTTTATTCTTTTTGGTTAGTATTTTCCAGGAGCTGAGGAGCCACTCCAGTACCCATGCCACTACTCCGACGTGAGCCAGAGTAACTCTGCCACAAGCACAGGTATGAAGAGGTTTTAAATCTACTCATTTGAAAAGGGAAAGAAAAGATGTTTGCAAAACTGCCTAAAATGTACAAATTAATTCCATGAAAAAAACTTAATAATCGGCATCCCAAAGCATAGTCACTTACTAACCAGTGTAAATTGTTGCGCCCACAAATATACAGTCAATTCACTTTACAGTACATTGTGTGAAGTAGTTTGAGACGTCTAGAAGACATGAAAAGCGCTATATCAAATGTAAGGATTATTATTTAATATTATAAATTGCAAGGATATTTGTTACTTTTCAGGTATGTATCCCTGCACGCATCCATTAAGAGCCTTTTAGGGGAGAGAAGTAAGTCTCTCCTTGGGACTTTGGCTTGCAGGGTTATTAATAGCTGAGTGAGAAATATCCTTGTTCCCAGTTACTGTTCTGCCCCTCCCAAGTCCTGTTGAAGCCAGACTGACCTGCCTGTAATCAGCAGTGCCCTGGAGTACTATGGATCTGTTGGACTCAATAACCTCACCGTAGAGGATTGATTTGATTCCTGCATTCCATTGCCAACCACATGACTTTGGAACCAGCTCAGCTCCAAGGAGACCCTTACTTCTCTCTCACAAAAGGCTCTTAACTGATTCATGCTTGGATACATATGTGTGAGTGTCAATATTTTGTGTAAATGACCATTCTTCAATTAGGTAACAAGTGGCAACATGGATGGATGGGGTGGTCATGGCTAAACCCAATATTGTTCTCTTCTTTTCACCTTGTCAGCCCCACATAAAAGGATGCCAAGCAGATTAAAATGCCCCTAGCAAGGGCATAACCACACCTGCAATGATAATTGTATGGCAAGATGATGTTTAACGCTTGCCAAAGTAATTCAACAGAATGGTCATCGTTTCCTGCTATTAACCGTCCTGGAGATCAAGTCAACATGACAAATGCAAACATGCACTTACCTCTACCCACTTTCTTTCTTCCAACTTAAACTGCACTTTACACTGTGGGACCAACCATTTCTAAAATGAAGTACCAACATTTTAAAGATTGAATACCCTGCAGCATGAGCAATTTGGAATCTAAGAGTGCTTTATTAGCTACAACTCTGCCATACGTGAAAAATTCTGATTTTATACTCTGTTCTCTGAAATCATTTTACATTTTTATAAAATCTGTTATAAAATAAAAGATGACATGAACCAAGCTCTATTTTAGATACTGCTTTGATGTTTCTAGATACTGCACCCCCAGGTCGCCAATTTTTTTTAAAACCTTGAAAAGTCTTGGAATTATTTAGTCTGTTCTATCGCATCCTCTAAAGTTTCTTCAATTAAGGAAACAAAGTTTAACTCCCTGGACAGCTATATCAGGCTTGATTGCCAAAATCACAAACCAATATTGCTGAAGTCATGGAGCTCTTTTAGAGACCCAGCACATACACAAATGGCATCCTTCCATGTAGTAAAATTCTAATAAGGGAGTCATCACAATTGACTATTCTAACAAAAGAGAATAAGATGATCATTTGAGGTTGGAGGAATCTGCCCAAGACAGTGAATAGAATGATGCTAAAGGATTTCAATTTTTTTCCTACTGCTATTGTGTACTGCAGGCATTTAGTTATTTTGATTGTTGGAGTAACCAGATAGCCTCTAAACTACCCTAGTCTCAGGTGACCTCAGGTATGGTATTTCTTCTGGGACAAATTTACCAGTGTCAACGTGGTTGCCTTGGGATGACTCCATTCAAGTTTGTATTTTGCAAGTTCCAGGAACAGTGGAAACTATCAGTGGTCAAAACCACCTAGTCTTTCCCCTAAGCAGGTAATTGGTATTGGGGGAGGGAAGACAAATTGAGATATATACTTTTTTTAAAAAGTAAACATTAACAATTGGAGAAACCAGATCTAGTTTGGTCAGTAGCTGAACTTTCTTACCAAATAAGAATAAATAGTCCATTATCTAAGACTATTTTTCTAGTGTCTGTTGCTAAGGATTTTCTTTTGTGCATTGTGGCATGTATAGATAATTCAGTATATTTTGGTCAACTGGAAATGGAAAACATGATGTAATCCCTTCCTTCTTCATTGCTAATCCATTGGGAGACCAATATAGCATATAGATAAGTCTGTAATGGTCATCACAAATACAGGAATATAACCATCTCCAAATCACTTAATTCTGCTTGAGATTGGATGGTATCAACCAATGTACTTTAGCCCTTTTACTTAATATTTTTTTTAAATCCCAGTTCATGGCTTTAGACATGGTTTTAACTAATGAATCCATCTTAGATTGTCACAACAAAGAAACCAGCCATCAAATCTGCAGTGATGTTTTTTTTTCCATATGTGACGCCTCGTCTAAATCTTCTGCTTGCTTCTCATGCCTTTTAATATTCCTCTTTTTCAAGCGTCCATCTAATTCTCTTAAAATAATCTGGATTCTGCCTAAACATGAGTATTGGCAGAGAAGTGAGCATTTTTATCGCTCTCTGCATAAAGATTCCTACCCCCGATCTCCCTCCCTTTTAATTCCTTTTGTGATTATCTTAAGTTTGTGCCCTCTTGTCATCCTTTGCTTTATCTGGAAGCAGTTTGAATAAGTGAAGTAATGTTACTGCCTCAAAGAAAAGCATTGATGTTTAAATGCTTAGTTCAGGATTTTTGATCACCAATCTTCTCTAAGCAAATAATTCAGTTTTTTGTTTAATGTATTAAAGATAACAACTGACTTAAACACATTTCTGCCACTAGCGACTATGTCGTTGAAAGCTTTCAAGGTGTGACCCTAGCAATCAAGGTGTTCTTTTTGTTTATTAGGATCTTTCTTGGAAATAACTTCTACAAACACTAGTAACAAGAGTGATGCTAATGCCGAAGCTAGTGAACTGCATGGAAATGCTACCAATGACACAATTAAACGTTTGGAAACAAAGTTGGCCCAGCTTAAGCTCCAGCCTAAGTCGGTGAGTAGAGTCTCCATGTAAATTGGCTGTTTGTGAAATGTGTAATTAGCTTCTTGTGTTTTATTATAAAGAACAGTTGACCATTTTTGAGATGTTTCAACTTGATTAGAAGAGAAATTTGGGTAAAGAAGGCTTTTTTGGCTCATTTCATCTCATCCTTCCAGAAACCTCACACCCCTATATTCCCATTTACAGCATCAAGCTGTGTTTTTGTTTTTTTGTAAATGAGTCCAGGGGCTCTGGCCTAAACCACCCTTCCCAGGTAACCTGTTCCTGTTTAATTACTCTACGTATAAATAAATATTTCCTGGTCTCTATCTTGAAATTGACCTTTGAAACTCTAAACCTCTGTCCTCTTGGTCTGTTTTCTTGATGGGTCCAAAAGTATTCGTCTGGATTTGCTTTAATTCTGTTTAAAATCTTTTATACCTCTATAAAATCCCCTCTTAAGACATCTGTTTTCAAGACTGAATACCCCTATCTTATCTAATCGTTGCTCCTAGCTCGTTCCTTTAACATTCGGCATCATCCACAAAGCTCTCTTGTGCTACCTCCAAGGCCTGGGTAGCCCTCTTTATATAGCAACAACCAGAACTACCAATACACTACTGTACATTGAGTCCAGCTGAGGATCTGAATTAAACTGATTTGGCAAAATATTCATCATCCTGTTTGACTTGTCTATTGCTGCTGCACACTGTTTTGATCCGGTGAGTCATGAAAGACGAATCAACTAACACATCTAGATCTCTTTCAACTACTTTGGCAAGTTCTTTCCAGATCAGGGAGGACATGTTTCCTATTCCTATTTCCTATATTGCATTCCTCTCTATTGATCTCCATGTTCCAGTCATCAGCCTAATGTGTGTGCCCTATTAAGTTCTTTTTGGGGCCTCCTCTGATTTCACACTTCGTCTGTCCCAAACTTGGTGTCCCCTGCAAATTTAACTATCATACACAGAGCCTGCGAATGCAGGTCATTGATATGTGTACTTGTTCTCAAACCAACTCTAACTGCCAAGTGTAGCTCAGCTATACTTTATATCATGATTCCCTACTTCAGTCTGATTGGTGCACATCAGGCTTGGGCTGACTGATTAAACTACAGGTCCATTCAACAGCAGTTTATTCACAATACAGCAGACGACAGCTGCAATAACAAATCAAATATTGTTATACCAACTACCCTGTTAGGCTTAGGAGTTCTGCAATTCAGCTCAATTTAATTAAAGCATTTGTAATCAAGATTGTATTTCTCCAAGTCATGTTGTCAAGCAGAATCATCCTTCACTCAATCAAAACAACATTTATGTTCAAGATTGTAATTCTGCAGGTTAACGCAACACTAGCAAATAAGCATAAGTATATTAATTTAACTAAAGCAGCAGCTTTAATAATTCACTTCTGAACACAACACCCATATAGAATCATAGAATATTACAGCACAGAAGGAGACCAGTTGGCCCATCATACCTGTGCCGGCTGTTTGGAAGAGCTACCTATCAGTCTTTCTACCCCTGCTCTTTCCCCATATTCTTGCAAATCTTTCCTTTTCAAGTAGCTACCTAATTCCGTTTTGAAAGTTGTTATTGATTCTGTTTCCACCACCTTTTCAGTCAGTGCATTCCAGATCGTAACAACTCTGTGTGTGTAATTTTTTAAAAAAAGTTCTCCCCCCTCTGGTTCTTTTGCCAATTATCTTAGATCTATGTGCCCTGGTTACTGACCCATCTGCCAGTAGAAGCAGTTTCTCCCTATCTACTCTTATCAAAACCCTTCATAATTTTGAACGCATATTAAATCTCCCCTTAACCTTCTCTGCTTTAGGGAGAATAATCCCGGTTTATCTGGTCTCTCCACATAACTAAAGTCCCTCATCCCTGGTACCATTCTGGTAAATCTCCACTGCACACCCTCTCCAAGGCCTTGATATCCTTCCTAAAGCATGGTGGCCAGAAATGGACACAATACTCCAGCAGAGGCCTAACCAGTGACTTATAAAAGTTTAACAGAACTTCCTTACTTTTCTACTCTATGCCTCTATTTATAAAGCCAAGGATCCCATATGGGTTTTTAACAACTCTTATCAACCTGTGTCCGTGAACCCCCAGGTCTCTGCTCTTGTATCCCCTTTAAAACTGCAGCATTTATTGTATATTGCCTCTCCTTTAAGCCAAATTTGAATCCATATCTTGCATCAGTTTGTGATGCAAATCAAGGATATAGTCTCCCTCAGTGATTTTTCCCCCCTTTCTTGCATCTTGATAAGAATACATCCAGAAAACAACTGTTTTTCCTTTCCTCTCCAAATATTACATTTGCTGTCATAATATGCCATTTCAATAAATACAAATTTTCTTTCATGTAAAAATAATGTTGTATTGCTTGTCGAGGGAAAAATACATGAGTTTGGGGAATTAAAATCTTTTTTCCATTTTCTGCACCATTGTCAGAATCTTGCACAGCCAGATGCAAAGTAAAATCACTCTCTACTGTCCCAATATTGTGTTTTAACCTCAGTTTCAAAAGAGCAGTCCCTCCTGAACATGTATGAATTTTTCTGCTTTATGTGATGGTACTGATGCTCTCCTCACTGTCTGATCGCTCTGTGGGTCTCCTCACTATCTGTGCCAGGCTCTTCACTATGTGTGATGCTACTGCTGCCCTACAACTCACACTGTGAGTCGACTACTGGAGAATCTGCTAGTACTATTGAATCTGATTGGACTGATAATCGCTGTAATGACTATTGCAAGCTTCTTTGAAAGAAACTTTCCTTTTGCATATAGCTATAATTTATTGTTCTAATAGGGTGACACACGACTGAACTTGCCATTGTCTCGAGGGAGCAGTGTGGAAAGTCTGTCTGGAGGACGTACCCAGTCTGCTGCCTCTACTCTGGAGGGAAAGAGACTGAGTGCAGATCTCAGCAATTTGTCAGAGTTGGAGACCAGGATCATGAATGCTTCCACAGGTAAAATCCAGAACAAAGGGTTTAGATAATGCATAAAAAGTGCTATTCAGTGAAAATTAATTTGAGTGGATTAAATATCATCACTTAAGATACAGCCAACATTTGCTGTTTTAAAATAAATTTAATTTATAGTTTCTGAAAGTAGCTCTCCTTTCTCCACCTGCCCACTCCAGCTATTGGCATAAAAAACATTTGTGTTGTTTGATTTATTGTACACTGATTGCACATATTAATCTTCTGGTATTCCAAGTATGCACTAACTTTATGATTACTGAATGTTCAAAGTAAACCAAAAGGAAGACTTAAAATTCAAACAACTGGGAGACCACAACTGAATGAAGTAGCTGATGGTAATCGAAACATAAATTACTTTACAGGAGATGGCACAAAATGGATTTCAGCAAGCTTATAGAGAAATTTGTGGTTGTGTTTTTATTTTTTATTTTAGAAATATTTGTCATGCAACTTGTTTCAACAGATAAAATCCATTCCACAGCCATTCATAACTTGTGTAAATAGTTTCTTTGTCAAATTCAGCTTTGTGGGCCTTTGTGTGTGCTTACGTTTGAGGCATGCAGTAGTTTTCAGTATTTGCGAAGGAGTTTTGGTTTAAAAATGCAGTTGTTTAATCGTCTATGCTTTAATTGTGCTGTCTTGTATGATGAGGCTGGGTGAATTGTAACATGTATGGCCTTTGCATGGAGCCTTATGTTGTGCATGAACTGGTCCAATGTAAAATGTTTGTTTCTGTAAAGAGAACTGTGTTGCTCTAATTTGTAATGCGCTTTGTTACCTGTTTAGCTGTTTGTTGCATGCGTACCTGTGTGTGTGTATTTTGCAGCCCGTCCAAAGCCAAAACGAGGCCATCGTAAAACTGCTTCATTTGGTACCATACTGGATGTTCCTCAGATCATCATATCAGGTACCAGTTCTAACTACTGGGCTGGCTGGTTAACTGCTGGGGAATAAGGTCCTTTTAATGCTTGTTGTTCCAGAAATCAATATGAAGTGAAATTACAGCTAATACAATAGGCTACTTTATCCTCTGGAACTCCATCTCACAGTCCCTTTGTCTTGCTTCCTCCCTTGCCTCCTTCAAAGCACGTCTCAAGACCCTGTCTTCAGTCGCGCTTTCAGCCACCCTCCTACCTCTGCCCTCCACACACACCCCCACTCCCCCTATCTCCCCGATCACAACCCCCTGCTGTCCAGTGCCTTGGAACGTCCTCCCGATGTGAAAAGCGCTATTAAATATTATTTGTTGTTGTTGATAGCTGTATCACACATGTAATTCATAATAGAGTTGCAATTTTGTATTATGAATTGCATGAGCAGTATTGCACATCAGCCACACAAACAAATTGAACGGTATCTTCATTCCTTTTGGAGAATAAAGATCAAAGCTCATTCCAGTGGCAGAGATTTGTGGCTAATATAATGCTACTACATCACAATTACTGATCATTTCCCTTAATATTGTGCACGATTTAATCTACAGCAATTAAAACAAGACAAAAGAATTTATCAAAATATATGGGTCAGAAGGTAGTTATATTTTATAACCCAAGTTAATCAATACCAATAATTTTCATTGAATGCCAGAATAAATTAGATTTCTCTGCTTTTTTTTAAGCATAGCCTGGGCACTCCTAGGTCTTTAGGAATAATTGAATGGGCATATAATTAATATCTTAGATACAACAAAGAAATGGTCAGGAATTTGCTAACTGCTTATATTTATTCATGAGCATGTATTCTGTTTATTCATAAAGTGTAGGGTATTCAATGTTAGGAATTTTAGGTTTAAATTGAAAGTCCCTGAGAGAAGATTTTCAGTGTTGGACATAAATAACTACTCTTACACATAAAGCTTCCAACTCAGGCTTATTGGTACATTTAAGATCTGACAAGCAATGAAGCAGCCAAAGTGCTACCTATTAATCAGTATAGGACAATATTTATTTTAAGTCATTAATTACAGAATGAATATGAGCTTCACAAGATCAATTGTGCAAGTACTGTTCTCAATATTGATTTGAGTGAAATAATTACCTGTAAAATGCTACAGTAGCAGATTACTCTGTAATCTATTGCATAAGTGGAGAGTTATTTTTTCAGAATTTGAGTGTACAGTACAGCTGTTCATTTATTGGTTGCCAGTCACAAAAAAATTTAGATACATATAATCCTCACCAAACTGATTCACTGTGGGGGTTAAAACATAATATTGCATAGATTTTTCTCAGTGAAAACCATAATTTTCATACGTTTTGGGACCAATTTCCAGAGCCTCCAGCATATGAACCCAGTCGTTAAATGCTTTCATGAAGGAAATAGAGGGGTATGGGAGAGGGAATAGGAGGAGTGGACACTCATGCGGAGTATAAACAAACTAGTTGGGCCAAATGCACAGTTTCTATGTCGTACAGTTCCATGTAATTTAACAACTCTGGGTAAGGTGAGAGAAAAATCAGCAGATTCCCACTACTGATTGCTGTCCTGACCCCTGCTGGAGCTGTCTGAGTATGGACAACAGTGGCCTTAGTTGTGAAGCAAGAAGTATTTTCCTCAGTCTTGAGCTTTGCTTTGTTTGCTAATGCCAGCTGCACTTGCTAATAGTTTCACCCCCAAATGTCTGTCCTCCACCTGCACAGCCTTTGTCCTCAGTGTTACCTGCCTTGCGATGTTTGTATGAATTGTATAAGGGTGTGTGGTTAAAAATTAATTGCTGAGCTATATTCACAAAGACGATAAGGTCAGTGTCAGTGAGTTAATTCTTCATTTATTCAGCCAAGTCTCATCTATTTGGATGCCAGTTTATATTCTGTTTTGTGTTGCACTGTACTACTAATACTAATTCATTGTTTTTCAAATAAAAGTGACAAACAAAAGTTATAAATGAAATTTGGGCTTTCAGGTTTGAAGCAATTGACATATAACACGAGCCTTGACTGGCTGGGCACATTTTTGTGAATATGGGCTCTGTTTTAGATGCGTAGCAATAGTGAAACCTTAATTTCAATGCTTGTAACTCTGATTGACTAAAGATATTTTTCAAGGAATTGACTGTGCATGCTCACACATGTATTCTGTGATTTGCTTTTAACCTCTGAAGAAATGGCAAGCCTTCAGTGATCCAGGCCTTCCATAAGAAAACATTATACTTCCAAAGCCTCTGGTTAACTGCTTTATTATCTGAATGAATGTTTCAATACATTTTCTCTCAATTTGATTGCATAAACCTGAATTGTTAATTTATGGAAGAATCCAATTTGGGGATTATTTTTGCAGAACATTTTTGGTTTCACAATAAAGGACTAAATAAATGTACAGGAACAATAGGAAATAATTTATCAGCATGAATTTGAAACTGCTTTGTAAATCATGATGTTAGTTTGTGACGTATTTTGTAATCTATGTTGACTCTTCTACCTTTAGTAACACCTTTGCTAAGAAATTGAGGACCATTGAGTATCCAGAGAGTTGTTTTTTTAAATCCTTATTTGTTTTTGAAAGATACATAATAAATGAAGGTGGGGTGAAAATGAGTTGCCTTTTTTCCTGGTTGAAAATCAAAGAGAATTTTTTTTAAAAAAAATACTTACTTACATAGTCTATTAACTAATGATATTGGTTATTTTGTTAATTTGTTTTGGTTATACTAATATCTGAATAGATTTAACAGTGCACTAAAGAAATATTTGAGAGAAAATGCTCACTATCATACCAGATGGGCAGGTGAAAGAAGTGCAGAGAACAAGAGTATTGCAAAATTTCAAGAAATCATATACCTTCACAATTCTGTCTCTATTTACGTGACTAACCACAAAAGAAACAATACAATTAGCTCTTTGGATCTGGCTATCCTTCAAAACTTTGGAAGAATTTGGAAGAATTGAAATGGCTAGCATTAGCCTGTTTTGGACAAAATGAACTTTTTGAAGTGTCACTCTGAGAAATTAAGTGTGGAAACAGGTGATACATCACATCCAAAGGACAATACCTCTGACGATATACTGTACAATGTGTTGCCCTGGACTCTTGACTATAACTTTGATGTGGTAGGCCCACAATATTATAACTCTGAGGCAAGAGCGTAACCAGCTGAGCCAAGCTGATATCCTCTGGAAAAGATCACAAGACCAAGCGAGAATGTCAATTTCTTTAGACTATGACCCTGGTTGTATGCCTTGTAGGTTGACAGCTGGAGCTTTTTATATGTTAATGTTGAATCTGTGTCAAAGCCTGAGAGAGGTTATAATCAAGAGAATGTTGACGGTACAAATTGGATAGGAATGTATTGCATAGAAAGGAGGTCCTCCCGACGTGAAAAGCGCTATATCAAATGCAAGGATTATTATTATTAACTTGCCTCCACAATGAAGCTGAAAGAAACCCGAGACTCTTAATTGAGTTGCCCATGTCCAAAAAGTGTAAGACAGCAATAGATAAGACTAAATGGGCCATACCATCAAATGAATTGTATTCAGATCCCCCAGAAGTCACACCTAAGCCTTAATAATGCTTTTGTCAAACTGTACCAGAAGTACTGTGTTTGATTGTAGATTCCGTGACAAAGGGAGGTTGCCCAAGCAGAGGAGAGCAATGAGGTTGTACCCCACTGTTGGATAGATAAGCTATGCAAAATAAGTAGGTAATGTTGAGCTTTCCAGCTTTGGAAAGAGACAGAGATGCATAAGATTCTTCAACCTACTTAGTCTATACCTCAGACTCACCGAACCAGTGTGTAACCTTGACATCCAGTTCAATCCTCAGGTGACATTCCCTCCTCACATTCTGTCCATGACCAAAACTGCTTTCCTTCTTCTTCGCCACTTTGCCCCTCTGTCCTTACTTCAAACCATATGCCACTAAAACGTTCATCTGTGTTTTTGTCACCTCCTATCTTGACATCTCAAACGCACTCCTCACTGGTTATTCCCAGTTCCACCATCCACAGGGTTCAGCTGAACCATGTCTCTGCTGTCCATTGCCCTTACTTGCACCAGCTATCTGTCTCCAAACGGATCAACTTCAAAATCCTATTTCTCGCATATAAACCTCTTCACACCCTAGCATCTCCCGGTCTGTCTGACCTGCTCATGCTCCACTTGTCTACCGGCCGGCCGCCTTTGTTCAGTTAACACAGACACATCTGCCCCTGCTGCACCAGCATTGGTGGCCGATTCTTCAATCATTATGGCCCCAACTTTTAGACTTACCTGTTTCTAAACCCCCACCTTGTCCCCTCTATATCTACCTTTACATTCACTGTAAAAAGAACCTGCTTGACTGCACCTATGATCACCTTTCCCTTCTCTTCATCCTTGCTCAGTATCCAATCCCACTACTCTGAAGTGCTCCAAGATGTCGTCCTGCATAAAGGTCGCTATATAAATTCAAGTTCTTATTAAACAGTGTAAAACTTGAATGAATGCTTTCAGATATGCTAAGGTTTTGGGTGAAAGCCAATTTTTGGACTAACACTACGAGGTAGTGTCGCGAACACATCACTCCCGCCCTCGCTCACCTCCACTGGCTCCCCAGAGGATCGAATTCAAGATCCTCACCTACAAGGCCATTCACACCCTTGCTCCCTCCTACCTCTCCAACCTACTATCCCCCTACTTACCTGCCCGTACCCTCCGTTCCTCTGGCTCCGGTCTGCTCCACACCCCCCGCCCTAACCGCCTTACCATCTGTGGCCGGGCTTTCAGTCTCTCAGCCCCTAGGCTCTGGAACGCAATCCCTCAGTGCCTTTGCCTTGCTTCCTCCCTTTCCTCCTTCAAGGCCGGTCTCAAGAACGTTCTCTTCAACCGTGCCTTCACCTCCCCTCTCGACTCTCTACCCCCTCCTCGCTCCTTCCCTCACCCTGACCATTTCCCCCTTGCTCGGGTCCCGACCCAACTGTCCAGCGCCTTG